CGAACCCCAAAAACCCTAGGGCACCCTGGAGGCAAGCAGGGTGTTTCTTGGCATGGGTCTCCACTGCATCACCCCCCCCGTCATCACTCCCTTGTTGGCCGACCCCGAGGAGAGAGAGAGACAGAAAAAGAGAGAAAGAGAGAGAGAGAAAAAAAAAAAAAAAGAGAGAGCGAGAGCGATGTCAATGCCTCGAGGCCCCGAGGGCGCGACGTCCCCCTCTGGGGCGCCCTCTGTTAGGCCCAGAGCTCCAGCCTTAGGTGGGGCATTTCCCCTACAGGCGCATGTTGTAGGAAAAAATGCAAATACTCCAAGCATCTTCAAACATCGTCGGAAAAAATACTCCGAAATCGTCCCCAGACTATTGTTTGACTAGTTTTGCGCATTCCTCCCGTAGGGGGACAGGCCCGACTTAACTCCAGCCTCGTGATCCTCGTCCAGCGTGGACCCCTGGAGGTCTGGACCTCTTCCCGGGGACCGGTCTTCCATCCCGAGTTGTTGTGTGGCGGCCCTGGGGCCCGGCGAGGGCCCCTGGAGGCCGAGAAGTGCAAAAAAAACACCCTCTGTCGCCCTTGTTATCTCGACTCGAGGGGGTTCTGGGAACGTGAGGGGAGAGGAGGGCTGCGCTGGTGGCCGCAGCGAGACGGCCTCCTCCAGGCGAGTCACGGTGCTGTTCACGTGGACTTTGCCCCCCATCGACTGGACCCTCTCGGACAGGAAGAGCACAAACCGGTGAGGGTCGATGGCGCCCTCCTCTTTGGACCACAGGACCTCCCGTCCCGCTCCCTCCATCCCTTTCTCCCTCCCTCCCTTCCTCCCCCCCTCCCTCCCTCCCTCCCTCCCTCCCTCCTCCTCCTCCTCCTCCTCCTCCTCCTCCTCCTCCTCCTCCGCCTCCTCCACCTCCTCCACCTCTTCCTCTCCCTCCTTCTTCTTCTTCGTCTCCTCCTCCTTCCCTCCCATTCCCTCCCCTCCCGACCCCGTAGTAGCTGCACCCCTCGTACATCGGAGCAAACCACTCGCTCCTCTCAAACTCATCTTTCGTATAGAACACCATCGAGGGGTCGCCTTTGAACAGAGCTTGGTTCTCCTTGAAAAGCTCTTCGTCCAAGATGTACATGAGGCCATCGTCGTGCATGATATTCTGGGCGTCGGGGTTCTCTCGTACGAACTCGGCGTGAACCTGCTGGGCCGCGAGCATCAGCGATGGCCTGCGAGGGTCCTTATCCAGGAGCTGCCATGTGGATCCCTCGAAGTAGTTAGCAAAGCCATGAAACCCTCCTGCAAGTGGATCCACGGTGCCGGACCACTTGAGGCCTCGCTTGACGGGCTTCCACATCGTGACCCCTGCAGGGCCATACGCCGTCGCTGCACCGACCTGACCCTTCCGCTCGAAAACCTCCACGTGCTTTCCGTTCTTGGCGCAGTAGTACGCACATATGAATCCGGCCAGTCCCCCACCGACGATGGCAACGGTCTCAACGCCCGGCAAGACGATCGTTGTCTCTGATTCGTGGCTACTTGCGTAACATGAAGAGAGAGAGCTCCCCATCTGCCTGTCCGACAACCCCACCAGCCCTCTGGGAGGAGGTGGTATAACAGCTCTTCCCTTCCTCTTCCAACACCCCTCCTTCCCCCAACTATTCAGGGATGGGCTGATCACTGGTCCTTCTCTATTGATCCTGGCGGCGGCCTCCGCCTTCCTCACCTCCCGCCTCCTCCCTCCTCACACTCCTACTCATACTCACTGACACTGACACTCAGACCCACTCACACTCACGCTCGCTTCTACTCGGCCCCACGCATGCCCGGACTCACTCACACTCAGCCTGCCATGCTCACACCACTCATACCCAGACGTACTCATACTCAGAAGCCCCAGGATCACCGCCATGCAGCAGGCTTGGCACGTGAGCACCCCGAGGAAGAGCCGCCAGGGGGTGTCACACTCGCCCGTTCACGCTCCTACTGTGAGGACGTCTCGAGCAGAGCGCTCCTTTGGCGGCTCCGATCCCTCTGCTCTCACAGCAGATTTGTGAGGTTGTCTCGAGTGATGCGCTCGCATTGGCATCCCAAGGGGGGGCCGCCACTCAGAGCCCCATGACCACCGCGATGGAACAGGCTGAGACTCTCCCACACTTGTCGCTTACAGCGGGAAGTGCGAAGAAATGGAGTGCACACATCTGGATCCCCGCGTCGAGTAGTCATTACACGCGCCTCTCCCACTCTGCTGGCCCCTAACCAGGGCAAATGCTAACACCTCCCCCACAGTCCCTGTCAACAGACAATACTAGACGAACGTTGCAGCAAAATCAATTCGGGCGCCCCACGATCACTTTACACGGGTTTCTTTGACGAGGACGAGAAGGGGGGTTCATCTTGCTCCACGTGTGCAGGTCCACAATCCCTACCAAAAAGCGAATGCACAGTGGACGCGGCGGCAAACTCTAGCACCATGCGCGTGCGCCCCGCGACAACTTTGCACTGTCCGCCAGAATGCCTGCATGATGTGGGCGTGTTAGAAACTAGGCCGGCACTGGGACGGACGGAGCGCGTCAGAAACTTGCCCGAGAGGGCTTGTGGCACCGTTCGCTCTTGGGAGCCCTGTCGTTGAGAGCTTTTTCACGTCAACGGTCGCTCTTTGGAGCCTTGGCCTGAAGAGCACGTCATCGTTCGCTTTTGGAAGCCTTGGCGTTGAGAGCTTTTTACGTCACCCTGCGCTCTTGGGAGCCTTGGTGTGAAGGGGTGTTTACGCCACCGTGGGTTAAGAATTACTTACGTCACCGTTTGCTCATGGGAGCCTTGGCCCGAAGAACTGCTTGCGTCACCCTGCGCTCTTGGGAGCCTTGGTGTGAAGGGGTGTTCACGCCACCGTGGGGTAAGCGCTGCTTACGTCACCGTTTGCTCGTGGGAGCCTTGGCCCGAAGAGCTGCTTGCGTCACCCTTCGCTCTTGGGAGACTTGGCGTGAAGAGCCTTCAGCGCCACTGCCCGCTCTTGGGGCCCTTGGTGTTCAAAGCTTTTGACGTCACCGGCTCATGCAAGAAGGGCTTTCCAGTCACCTGGTGCTCTTGGGAGCCTTGGCATCAAAGCTGCACCTGTCATTGACTGGGCCGTCACCGGGGGAGGGGGGCGCTCCTCTGGGGGCCCTCTTGGGTGTCTTGGGGCCCTCTTGGGCCGTTCCGGGGCCCTCTTGGGCAGTCTTTCGGAGCTTGGCCCGTCTTGGGGCCTCTTGGGGCCCTCTCGGCGGCATCCTACGGAACGCTGGGGGTTCTCTTGGGAGCTTCTTGGGCCCTCTGGGGACCCGCTGGGCCGTCCTGGGACTCTCTGTGGCCGTCTAGGGGCCCTCTCGGGAGCCTCCTGGCCTGTCTGGGGGCAATCTCGGAGATCCTCAGAGCCGTCTTCGGCCGACCTGGGCCCGAAAAGACGGGAACCCAAAAGACAATGAAGCATATAAGGGAAATCCAAGTGTTGTGCCTCCTCAGACCGTCTTGGGGCTCCTCTTGGGAGCATTTTGGGCCGTCCTGGGGGCCTCTTGGGCCGTCTTGGGGCCCTCTTTGCAGCCTCCTATGGCCCTCTTGGACTTTCTTGGGAGCCTCTTGGGCCTTCTTTGGCCCCTCTTGGGGCTCTCCGTGGCCGTCTTGGGGTCCTGTTGGGCCGTCTTGGGGCCCTCTTTGGAAACTCCCTGAGCCGTCTTGGGGCAGTCTCGGAGGCCCTAAGAACCGGCTTCGGCCGATCTGGGCCTGAAAAAGCGAAGACCCAAACATTTTAGGGGAAACAGAGCTTCTGTTTGCCTCCTCAAGTCGACTGGGGCGTCCTCTTGGGAGGATCTTGGGCCGGCCAGGGAGCCTCTTGGGCCGTCTTGGGGGGTCGGGGCCGTCTCGGGGCCCTCCCGGGACCCTGTCTCGCCCCCCCTTGGGGGGCCTCCCGTGGCCCTCGTGCGGCCGTCTTATGGGAGCCTCTTGTGCCTCTCTGGAGGGTCCTCTTGAAGGCCTCTTAGGCCCGTCTTTACGGGAACAAAGAGTGGCATCAACATAAAAATTCGGAGGTCCGCGCGGATTTCTCGGATCGGCGCTGGGGCCCCCCGGCGGCGCCTCCAGCGCCGCCCCTGGCGCGCTCCGCGCGCCAGGGAGTGGGGTCCAGCGCCGATCCGAGAAATCCGCGCGGACCTCCGAGTTTTTATGTTGATGTCACTTTTTGTTCCCCTAGTCTTGAGCCCCCTAGGAGCGTCTTGAAGCCATCTGAGGCCATCTTCGAACGCTCTCGGCCGGTGTTGGGTTCTTTTGGAGCCCTCCTGGGCCACCTCGGAGCACTCTTGGATCTCTCTTGGGCCGTCTTGGGATATCTTGGCAATTTGGGGGCCTCTTGGGCCGTCTTGGGGGGGAAGGCGTGTTACGCCGGCACGGGCGCGCTTCCCCCTCCCCTAGAATGCCCCCGGAGGGCGGGATCGCGCCGGCCTCCCCCCCTCCGCCCCCCCACATGGGGCCTGAAGCCCTGTACAGAGCATCTCTCGCATCTGCTCTTTCGGTCATGCCGAGTGCTGTCTGGTAGGGTTCCTGTATCGGGCGAAGAGAACTATGCACATACGCCGGTCCTGGCCAGGCCCATCCTTGGCGCCAGGATCGGTGCATATGCCTTCCTGGCCAAGGCAGGAGGGCGTATGCACCGATCTTGGGCTCAGGCTGGACCTGGCCAAAATCGGTGTATGTCATGGTTCCTTTTCCTCGATCTGTATTATGAGGAGGGGCCCCCCTCTACTCGCAGAGTGCTGCGGCGGTCGCTCCTTTTCTCCCGAGGCCATGATTCGTAATGGAAGCTGTGGATCCTCGCACACGAGGCGACGGGCCCTTGCAAATCAGCCTGGCGAAGGACCCAACCATGTGCAGTTGTGAGTGCCGTAGATGTGAGTACCATCTTCGGTGGCACGATTGGCCCCAGGGGCGCCTGGCGCGCCTGGTGAGCGTGGCGCGCCTTGCACGCGTGGCGCACCTTGCCCCATCGTGGCGCACTTGGGGATTGCATTGGGGCCTTCGATAGCTCTCCGGCCAAAGACGACCGCTGAATCTGCTGAGACTTGGGTACTATTGGGAAGGCGGGCGGGAGTGAGCCGAGCAGTTTTGCGTTTTGGAGAGGTGTCTTGACCCAACCCCCTACCGACCCCCCCTGGGTCTGGACGGGGAGGTCCGTGAGGGGTCAGGGAGCCCAAGGTGGCCCAAGACGGCTTTTAGATGGCCCGTGCCAAACTGGACTCCAAGATGGCGCAAGATCGCCGGCGATGCTTCAAGATAGCTTCCAGCATACCTCCGGAAATTCTCGCGGCAGCACCAAGACGGCTCCAAATGCCATCGTCCCCGAACATGAAGACAACCACTGGTGTTTGCCCTCTCGCCTTTACGCTTCCGACGGTCATCTGATGCCTCAAGATAGCTCCAAGATGGCTCAACAGAGCGCCAAGAGGGGCCCAACAGGGTCCAATACGGCCCGCAGAGAGCCCAAGCCCGCCCCAAGAGCACTCCGATATGGCCCCGACGATGCACATGTTCGGTCTCTGAGGGGGCACGAAGTAAGGACCCCCCCTTTGAGCCATGGACCAAAGATCACCGCACGAAGGCCCAAGATGACCCCAAATGTCCCCCAATATGATCTCATAACAACAGGTCGGCGAAGGCCTCTTCCTCTTCCTCCTCCTCCTCCTCCTCCTCATCATCCTCCTCCTCTTGTCCTCATACTCCTTTTCCTCCTCAGCCTCCTCCCAATATGGTTCCAATAAGCCTCCGCGAAACTCCTGAAACAACTCGCCCGGGCATTGATTCCAGATGACAGTTCTGCTCTGCTGTATGGGCTCTTCCGTCGGCGGTATTCTACATCCTTCTGGGTGGCTGTTCCACTGTATGCCACAAAGTTTCCTTGACCAAAGCAACACGCCTGATATTTGCTTCTGAACGGTTTGCTGGCTGCTCGCGTGGGACTTCTAAGACATCTCGCCTGGGTATCGGTTCTGGATGACATGGATGGAGTGGTCTACGGGTTCTTCCATCGCAAGTAGGATTCGATGTTCCACAACATCCTTCTGTGACACGTTGATCTGGGCAACGCGGCTGGGCGTCGTTTCTGAATGGTCTGGCGCGGATACGCGGAGCGTCAGGAACTTCGCGAATTTCCCCTCGAGTGGGGAAACTTGCCGGTTACAGCTACGAGCTCGAACAGTGGCTGTGGGCTACAACTTTGAGCCACAATGGATTCATCCTAAAGGACTTGAGCCAACACGGCTACGGATCCTTGGCGCAAGGAAGAGGAGGAGGAAGAGGACGACAAATATGATCTTTACGATACTACAGAGGAGCGCGGAGAACCCCCGTCAAATTATCTAGCTTCTACTTCCCTCTGTATCCTCTTCCCTCTCCAGTATCGGTTCGAGAGCGCTCTACGCTCAAGGCAAAACCACGACACGAAACCCTCCACGCCTTCCAGCCCAATAAGACTGTGACCGTATCCATCATACGGGGCCGATGCGGGTCACAATCCCGTCTTCCCCCGCGCGCCATGGTTCCGAGAAGAGTGATGCTGTCGATCTCCTCTATGTGGTTCCAACTTCTCCCCGCCGCATGAGCCAGGCCGGTGCGCGCGCTCGCTGGATTCATTCCACGCCAAGCCGCCGCGCGCGTGGCCGCGACGCCAAAACAAAAGGTGTGTGTGTGTGTGGTGTCCCTCCGTCCTGGTCGGTTGCCGCTGCCGCCCTCCTGCTGCGCCTCGCGTGGTGCCTCGGCTCGTCGCTGTCGCATTGCCTCTCCCAGTACTCGTTACTCCGGATCTCATAGCAATGGGGGGGGTCTGCTTTATGGGGGGGGTCTAACGGGCTTCGTCAGACACAATTGTGGGGGGGTCTCGATTTTGGACCCTTTGTTGCCTGTCTGGGGGGGGGTCTACTTCGGGCTGTCAAACACTTGTTTGACCCCCCCCCCTTTATTATGAGATTTGGAATAACCCCCCTTCCCCATCTCTTCTCCTTTTCGCAAACGGCCCTCTCGCGAGCATGTCTGTCGATCCCTTACGGGTGGAGCCAACTGTTTCGCGCTGCATGGGCCGGCCTGGCCCGCGCGCTCCCACCTGACCTGACCTACGCCGCGCCGCCGCTCGCGTGGCCGCGAAGCCATAGCGTGTGTGCGTGTGATACATACATACATATGTATATACATTCACACACACACACATATAAATATGTTTGTATAGATCAGTATCATTATGTGTGTGTGTGTGTCAAACGAATGGGCCGGATCCCAGATAGCGGCTGGCCCCAACGCTCTGTGGTTTCCTCGCCACAGCCACACATGCTCCACTGCCTCGAAGGGCCCCGGGTGCCTCCCCGCCAGGCGACGTAGAGACCGCCTCCTTGTCCTCCCCGTGCCCCCCGTCGAAGACACGCGGGGGGCCCAGCTTGTGCAACCCGCGCGAAGGGTACGTCGTCCGGCGCCAGTCGCGGCCGTCATGCCACACGCCGGCCCCGATCGCTCGGCTGCAGCATTCACGACTGCAGGTCGACGCTCGCCCTGCCGGGTGGCCCCGCCGCGGGGGCTCGGCCGCCGGCCTGCCCCAGGCCTGCCGGCGCTCCGAGGCAGGGCGTGCCGCGCCAGGCTCTCTGCCCCGCGGCAGGACCGCCCAGCTGCGAGCTGACGCCCATCGACCGGATGCGAGGCAGGGAGGCCGAGCTCGCCATCACCTCCTGTGGCAGGTCCGATGGCGCCTGCAGCCCTGGGCACGCCAGATGCTCCTGCCGCTGCCGCGCCGCGCTCGCCGAGGGGCGAGCGCTGCTGCATCGCGACCGTGTGAGCTGCGGCAGGGCCCGGGCGGGCCAGGGCGCTCGCAGCCCCGAGCTCTCCTGCGCTTCTCGCTCGAGGCCGGCCGCGCGGGGCGAGCTCGCCGGCAGGGGCCGGCCCGCGGAGGGCGAGGCTGTCCGCTGCACTCGGCCTGGCCGCGCCGCCGCCGGGGACGGCGCAGGCTCGCCCCGCCACGCGTGGCCAACGGGGGGAGCAGAGGGAAGCAGCGGCCCCGGCCCAGCTGAAGGGGCCCTGGGACACACAGATAAGTACACACAAATCAAAAGGTTCCCCGCATATTTTCCCATATTTCCTGGGTTTTTGTCTTCCCGCCCAATTCCCATATTTTCCCAGATCTTCTTGGGGATCGACGATTAATTGTGTCTGTGTGTCTTTTTCCCTCCTGACCAGCAGCGACAGGCCTGCCTGGCCTCTCTCCGCAGGGGCCTCCCCCCGCGGACGACTCTTCGGTCGAGGGCGCCTGCGCCGAGCTGCAGCGCTGGTGCGGAAGGCCTGTTGGTGATCCCGCGCTCCTCCCCCTGCCTGCTTGCGTCCTCCGCCCACGCCCTCGCAAATACAATACGTCCCCGGCGTTACATTCCCCCCGGCGTTACATCCCCCCGGCCTTACATCGACCGCGAGATCGCCTCCAAACTTGTCCAAATCATGCACCCAATGTTGGGCTGCGATGCCGGCAACGTCACCCTGTCATATTCTGGCAGGACCTCCTCCGCTTAACGACGCGCAGGCCAAAACTGTCCACACTTTGCGCCTCGACGCCTCATGTGCGTTCCCGCCCCACTCCGGCCAATCTCACGCGACCTGCGCCCTCCTCGCCCTCCGCGCCAAGACCCGGCTCCGCAGTTCTCGTGGCAGCCCTGAAGAATCACGTGTGCTGTGTGAGGCCCTGGCGACCATCGTCAGGGACCCCCAGGCAACCAGGTTCGGCCTCTCCCGTGACAACGTGTGTCGCTTCGCGCGCTGGGACACTGCCGCTCCCGACGCCAGAGGCCTCGCATCGGGAGGGCGCGTTCGCCTGCAGAGCGGCGGGCGTAAGCCAGGGTCTCCTCCTCCTCCTCCTCCTCCTCCTCCTCCTCCTCCTCCTCCTCCTCCTCCTCCTCCTCCTCCTCCTCCTCCTCCTCCTCCTCCTCCTCCTCCTCCTCCCTCCTCCTCCTCCTCCTCCCCCGTTTCGACCACGATCGCCCCACGCACTTATGCAAGGACCCCACGCCGTGCCGCCTCTTGGCCTCCACCCTGGAGGGCATCTTCCGCCTGTGGGGCTGGCCGGTCGCAGATCGAAGGCCCGACCGTCCACGCTCTTCTGCTGGAGTAAGGGAACAAAAAGTGGCATAAGCATAAAAACCCGGAGGTCCGCGCGGATTTCTCGGATCGGCGCTGGGCCCCCCTGGGCGGCGCCTCCGGCGCCGCCCCTGGCGCGCTCCGCGCGCCAGGGAGGGGGGTCCAGCGCCGATCCGAGAAATCCACGCGGACCTCCGAGTTTTTATGTTTATGCCACTCTTTGTTCCCCTATGGAGGAGACTGCTGGGGAATTGCACGCGTCGCCTCCTGCCTTTCCCGCCGCCTGCTCTGCCCTCGCCCCCCCCCCGCTCTGCCCCGCCCGGCTCGGCCCGCCTGCCTCGGCGCTCCGCGGTCGCCCCCTCCTCGGCCCCGCGCCGCGCGGGCGCCGCCTGGCCGCCCAACTCTGGCGTGGCCGCCCGCTGCCGGGCCCCCCCGGCCGCCGCCTCGCCCGCCCAACTTTGGAGCGGCTCTCTCTCTCTCTCTCTCTCTCTTTTTCTCTCTCTCTCTCTCTCTCTCGCGGGGCCCCCCAAAAAGATGCACACCACCACCGCCTCCCTGACCCCATCCCTCTCCCAGGGAAGAGGAGGGGAGGAGGAGGGTAGAGGATGGATGCATGGATGGAAGGACCCGAAGGGAAAGTGCACAGCACCAAAAACGAAACGACAGGAACGACTGGCCTACAGATGCCTCCTTCGAACGAATTCTCTCAATCAGGGCAGCCACGCGCTGCTCATATGAGGGAACCACTGAGGCTGAGAACGACCTGGACACCTCCGTCGAGTCAGGGACCGCATTAGACTCCGATGGGGGCCAACATCTCAACCGTGGGATACCGAGGGAGGAAGACGCTACGACCGAGGAGGGTTCAGATCTTACGGTTCGGTGGCCTCCCTTGGGAATAGCGGTTTATAACCTCCTGACCTTTCTTGGTGGGGTGTTGTCCAGTCAAAATACACGGCTGAGCAAGCTTTCGGGCTCTACCCTGGGACCACCCCCCCCCACATCTTAAACAAATCCAAAATTGCTTCTCAAGGACCTTCTGCCCAGCACCACTCGAAGCTCGAGCCGACAGCCCAGCCGCGACGACGAGATGCCCCTTGGGATCCTTGAGGAGCGGTCTGATGTTGGGGGGGACCCCTTTACAGCCATTGAGGGGAAGCTCCGTTCGGTCCTCACACCCTAGACTGAAACACTTCGAACATCTGAGGCCTGCAGGTCCGTCGACCCAAACATGCCATTCTTGTTGCACTCGATGTGTCCGTCGCCTGCGGCGGTGGACGTCGGTGTTCCTATTCCACCTAGGCGTGACCTCAAATAGCGGAAAAACGGCAGCAGCGAGCCTACAGAAGTGGGCAGCACGTTCCACAGCCACCTCTAACTCCTGCAGGAAGGATGGGTCGGCAGACGGGTGAGCTCGGACGGCCTCTTTCGCATGGTGGTCAACAATGCGATCGGCCTCAGCATATTCTCGCTCATTCTGTTCCAACGAGTCAATCAAATCCTGAGATCGATGCGCCTTGACATGCCGCACCTCCTGTATGAACGATGCGCCCTCAAGCGCGTGGGCAAATTTCCTTATCCCTGCAAACTTGCTGCGCACTGAAAGCTGTTGTGCCATTTTTTTCTGCGCGAGCTTTATCGCAGACATGCAATCGACGCCCAGCTGAGCTGGTCAATTTGCCACCTGGCCGCAGAGCGCCACACCTACATGCTCAGACATTGCAGGTGTCTGAGGAAAACTTCCGTGGACGATTCCACGCATCACGCATACTGGAACAGGATCAGCCCCGCTCGGTGGGAGCACCGCCATCGCCCATGCCGCTCGCTGGAGCGCACGTAGGGGGGGGGGGGGGGGGGGCTTCGAGCAGGACCCATCAGACACCATTATTAAAACAGGCTCCTCCGACAAATCAGCTAGCTGCTCAGGGCCCCTGTCCAGAGGTGCACCCAAAACATCAAAAACATCCACCCCAGCTGACGTGGACGGTTTCGGCAGCTCGCTTTCTGGGTACACGTAAATCCCGCGGGTGAAGATGTCCAAATTTGGCTCAGCGCGAGCCGCCTCCAAAAACTGACTAGGAACTTCGGACTCTGCTCGGGCCTGCTCTACATCAGGCCTGGAACAGGAGTAGAGCCTGTGGTGGAATGTGTGTCTACTTGCCCGCACACGCACCGCCCGTCCGTCTCGTACCCCGCCAAGCGACCTCTATCAGCAGCCCACACTCCATTGCACCCACAGCTCCTGATCAAAAACTTGGCATGGGACTCCCGTGGGCCACTCTCTTGGCCAAATTTCATGGTGGGTTGCTCTTGCTCCTGCTCCTCCTGTTTGTCTGCGTGCATGTCCTCCTCTTTGTTTGCATTGCATTGCATTGCAGACGCATAGCGTTGCAATCGCACTCTTCCCTCCCATCCTCGCAACAGGACCCCTTTGGAAAACATTCCAAAGGGATTCCAGTGGAACGCCTCACAGCAGGAATCCTTTGGAAACCGCAACAAAGGGATTCGATTGGAAAGCGCCACACAGGGATGTGGGAAGCGAAAAACCAAAAAAACACAAGGAAAAACCAAAAAAAACAAAGAAACCAAACACCAACAGCCGAAAAACCAAAAAAACACAAGGAAAAACCAAAAAAAACAAAAAAACCAAAGTTTACAACACTTTCGCTGTCAGGGCGGTGGGGGTGGACGAAGTATCGAAATCTTTGGTTTTTTTTGTTTTTTTTGGTTTTTCCTTGTGTTTTTTTGGTTTTTCGGCTGTTGGTGTTTGGTTTCTTTGGTTTTTTTGGTTTTTCCTTGTGTTTTTTTTGGTTTTTCGCTTCCGCCACCCCTCCCCCTGGGGAGCGGGCGGCTCCAGGAGGCCCCAGGAGGCCCCAGAGAGGCCCCAGAGAGGCCCCAGGAGACCCCTGGAGGAGACCCAGGAGGGAACCCAGGGGCATCGCAAATTCAATGTCCCTTCGATGCCCCTCCCCTCTCCTCACCTCTCTCTCCCTCAACCAAGTTTTCTGGTTACCCTCTCTTTCGTGCCCGCCATCCCCTTCCCGCGACGGCAGCAGACTCAAGGCCCAGCTGGTTGCTGAGGATGGGTGCCTTTCGGGTGCCTTGCGGGTGCCTTGCGGGTGCCTTAGCAATTAGCGGAGTGCATTGCGAGTATACACGTGCCGCGCAACTCCCCAAATATACCATTCAGAAGGGGGAAACGCTCGAGAATTTTTTTTTGTTTTTTTTGTTGTTGCCGTTGCATATGAACGGAAAGCGAAGCATTTCTCGTTAAGTGCAAAAATCAGATTTGAAGAAGTATCATAATCATTATGACGTTGTGCATTTTTACTATCGGCGTCGACCCCCGAATTCTGAGGATGGGTGCCTTTCGGGTGCCTTGCGGGTGCCCTTCGGGTGCCTTTCGGGTGCCTTGCGGGTGCCCTCCGGGTGTTTTTCGGGAGCCGTGCGGGAGCACTTCGGGTGCTCTTCGGCCGTCTTCGGGTACCTTTCGGTAGCCAGCAAGGGGCTTGGGAGGAGGCGGAAGAGAAACCCAGGATCCCAAGAGGAACCTAGGAACCCAGGAGGAACCGAGGAACCCAGGAACCCAGGAGGAACCCAGGAACCCAGGAGAAATCCAGGAACACAGGAGGAACCCAGGAACCCAGGAACCTTGGAGGAACCCAGGAAACCAAAAGAAACCCAGGAGGAACCCAGGAACCCAGGAGGAACCCAGGAACCCAGGAGGAACCCAGGAACCCAGGAGGAACCAAGGAACCCAGGAACCCAGGAGGAACCCAGGAACCCAGGAGAAATCCAGGAACACAGGAGGAACCCAGGAATCCAGGAACCTTGGAGGAACCCAAGAAACCAAGAGAAACGCAGGAGGAACCCAGGAACCCAGGAGGAACCCAGGAACCCAGGAGGAATCCAGGAACCCAGGAGGAACCGAGGAACCCAGGAACCTAGGAACCCAGGAGGAACCCAGGAACCCAGGAACCCAGGAGAAACCCAGGAACACAGGAGTAATCCAGGAATCCAGGAATCTTGGAGGAACCCAGCGTTTCCTGACCCCCCTCGCTGCTCGTAGCTGTTTGGGCCCAATCGCAACGCCGAGCGTGCGCCTTCTGGCAAACCCTCAGCGTCATTCAAGACCGCGGCATGGCCGCTTACGAGGACCTGAAATCGGCGACCGAGGGCTGGTATTGCCGCCCTCTTCCTGCACCAATGGTAACGGGCGTGCTGCCCCGTGGAGAAATCGAGCCTTTTCTCGAACTCACGGACGACATCGGGGCCAACGAGAACCCACTGGTGCACTACATTGATTTCATCACGGGGCATAGAGACCCAGTCCCCCCCGAGCTCGACGAGCAATACAAGGCGGCCTGGAAGGACGACAGCTACCACAATCTGCCGCCACCGTTCGGGTTCAAGACGGCGCCGCAACACCACATGACGCTGCAGATTTGTATCCTTGACGCCCCCGACGGCACGAAGACCATAATCAAACACTGCGTCATCCCCAACAAGGCGAAGACGGCCGTCTTCGCCAGCATGGCTTTCGGGAGCGTCAAGAAGCTCTGCTTCCAGCATCCCAAGGTGCACGATTGGGGAAACAAAAGGGTGGCGAGGGCGCGGCGCCCTCGCCATTTTGTTTTTTCGATCGCGCCGCCAGGTGGGGGTCAAGGTCTGGCAATACGCCTTCGAGCGGTTCGGAGGCAAACAGTGTCGGGCTTTCTTCTTATCGCCAGACGTCAAGACGGCCACCAAGGTGAACGAGTTCTACGAGCTCTCGGACGAGGATATAAACGCTGGCTTCGAATACATCCTGAAGAACGCGCCTCGCTCCACGGCCGAGCTCAAGCAGCTGGTATGGCAGACGAAGGCGCTACGCAAAGGCGCCCCCCTCTACGGCTGGCCCGTCCCCCTGGTGGCGAAGGCGTTGAGCGGGCTCGCGGCGGAGGGCGCGCTTGCAAAGAAGGAGTTCGAAAACAACGTGATCCTCTGCGAGGACCACTTCAACCTTCGCGTTCTCGAAGCCATGCAGGAGCTGATCAACAGCAACGATTCGCTTGTCCTCATTGGGGAGCCCAACATCGGCAAGACGCCGCTCGGGCGCGCATTCCTGATGGCAATGTGCCGCAGGAACGCGCGGGTCCACGGATTGGACCCCGCGGGTTGTTGCATCCGCGTCACGCCTGAGATCGATTTCTTGCGAGGCGAGCCCGGCGACATTCTCATGGGGGACTTTGTGGACGATGGCTGCTTGAATCTCCTCCCGCCCAAGATGGTGAAGGCCTTGCTCGACGTCGGCCAGTACGAGAGCATGTGCTGGGCCAGGTGGGGCGCAACGAAATGGAAGAAGGGGGAGCCTCGGTGCTTGGCGGACCAGACTTACGATCCGAATGCCGAGAAGCTGGACCGCTGGCCCTCCGTGAAGTTCCAGGAATTCTTCGAGCTCGTGCGCCCTGCCTTCTCCGAGAAGGCGACCCGCGCATGCATGCTGGCTTTCTTCAAGCGTTCTGCGTTTCTGGTGAATACCCAGGAATACCTCTACTGGCGCCCAGCAGGCACTGAGGAGAAAGATGTTCCGCGCATTAACTTCAAGGGCGAGACCTTCCTGACGGCCGAGGGGAAGCGCCTGTACCTACTGCAGAAGGACGGCGACATGACCCCGCCCGCCAATATCCAGCAGCTCTTGGAGAAGGAGCGGCTCCTCGTGGACTCCGCCGTGGAGAAGAACCGCAAGAAGTCCTCAGACGCGGCCCTCGGTTCTTTGCCAGCCCCGTCGTTCGTCCAGGTTTGGGGGTTCAAAGATGCGGCCCTGCGGGGTGGGGTCCTAGGGCTGAGGGAGCACTTCAACGCGTTCTGAACGCTGAAACGCTGCCTCGGCCTTGGCGGACATCATCTTTGAGCCCCTCCCGACAGGTGAAGCGAGAGCGCGTGTCCCCTGAGCGCCTGACGTTTCGAAAGCGCCTGCTCTCGGGGATGACGCTCAATGTCGACAGCCCGTCCCCCGCCAAGCAACATGCCGCGGCGTCGTCCACTGCATCTGGGCCCGCGGCCCCGCCCCGCGACGATCTCGAGGTCCAGCTCTCGCAGATGCTGGCCGAGGAGGGGGCGCCCGCTGTGCCTGCGATGCCCTCGGCTGCGGAGGAGGACGAGGCGCGCGCTTTCCTCGGTTCTCAGAGTCAGGAGTGAGCGGGCGGCCGCGAGAGCGCGGGCGGGCAGGTGCGGCGCGCGGGTTTCGCGGGCAGCGATGGCACCCTCAGCTCGGGCGCTGATGCCGCGCGCGCTGCCGAGGTGGCGCGCGCCGCTGCGCCCCAGATGAGCTGGGGGCGCGCGCCGCCAACATGTTGTGTCTTGATAGGGTTATCCACAAGTACCGCGCGTTATCATGCCATTTTCTTTTGCCGTTCTAAGAAATCCAGCCGCCCCCGCAGACGTCGTCGTCGTCGCCGCCGCCGCCGCCATCGCCGTCCATCCGGTATGGTTGCTGTCATCGCCGCAGCCGTTTCTTGGCCGAATCGGCAGCCAGAGCCGCGGGTGCCCGCGCCTCTCGCGCACTGCCTCGCCCGTGCTATCGCGCCTGGAGCCAGGGATGACCGTCCACCGTCGCCCCGCCGCCTCCGAGGCCAGGGGTCGAAGCCGCACGCGAGGGCAGCGCTTCCCCCAGAAGCGTCGCAACAAGCGGTCGGTGCAGGCCGCCTCGCGCCGCCGCGACATTTTGGCCAAGGCGCGGAAGGCGCGCAAGGCGGCCCAGGCCAAACGCAAGCGCTTGGAAGCCACGGGCGTGTTCTACACGCCCAAGCGCCAGCGGGTGTCCCGCGTGCGGCGCGGCAGGTCTTCCTTAGCCAAGATCTACACGTACGAGGACCTCAGGGCTCTGAAGACCAAGGATGCTTACGACTTGATGGTCCAGGCGGGGTACCTCGGCGACCCCTCCGAGAACGTTTGCCCCAGGTGCGGATGGCCATTGGGTTCGGTGATTCACAGGGGCGAGAAGCGGCATCCAGTCCAGAGGTGTCAGCGCAAGGCCTGCTCGTCGTCCTCGGTGCAGGTGAAGGTCACGAGCGGCACGTGGGCGGATGTGGAAGTGCCTCTCCCGAAGCTGGCGGGCGTCGCCTTCCTGTCGTGCGGCGCCCTGACGTCCCGCATGAGTACAGCCGACATGGCGCTGATTGCCAAGATGGGCCACAAGCAGTGCGAGGCGGTCAGGCAGAGTTTGCTGGAGATCGTCTCGGCTGCTTCGAGGGAAGAGCAGAAGTCGATCGTGCTGAGCGGCCAGTGCGAGACCGACGCCACGACCCTGCGGGTCGTCCAGCTCAAGAACGGGCGCAACATGCACATCCGCGTGTTCGGCATGTGCAAGCGCGGAGACCACGAACACGCCGTCGTGCACATGCTGCCGCCCTTCTATGCGGTCCGTGGCGGCCCGACGCGCCCCGAGAGCACGGATGAGACCGCGCCGCTGATCTCAGCTCACACGGGGGCCGACGTGCTGATCTGGCACACAGACGGAGCGCGGTGCTACCGCCGCCTCGAGAACCACACGAAGGTCAAGCACGCCAAGCGCATCTGGGCGACTGTCAAGACGCTGACCCTGAGCGGGGGCGACGTCCTGTGCTGCTACGGCGGGACGCAGCTCCAGGACGGGCTGTGGTCGCACGTGAAGAACGTCGTCCCAACCACGATGAACACGTACAGCAAGGAGTCGCAGGCGCAGCTCGAGAACTGGGTGCACTTCTGGGCGTGGCGCTACAGGCGCGCCAGCTGTCCAGATATGTTTCTCGAGCTCGGCTCGGCCGTCGCCATGGCCAGGTTGAAGGGCCACGTCTGGTGAGAACCTGCCTGTGCGCTAGAGGGGGCCGCATGTGTAAATAATCGCCATCGGCCGAGAGGACAGGGGGGGGGAACCTGTCTGGCGAGGACCGCGGATAAAAAATAATCGTCAGCGGCCGAGAGAGAGAGAGAGAGAGAGAGAGAGAGAGAGAGAGAGAGGGAGAGAGAGAGATGGATATACGGAGCACGGAATAGAAGAGAGAGAAAGATATACAGAGAGAACGAGAGAGAGAGAGAGAGAGAGGGAGGGGGAGAGGCGCCATGAAATTTGGCCAAGAGAGTGGCCCACGGGAGTCCCACGGCAACTACTTCGCCATCGTGCTCAACCCTCGAGCCTTGGGCCCCAGTCTGGACCGTATAAGGTCCAGAGTTGCCCTGTGCCCAGGAGGGTGGCCTAGCTTGACTGCTAGTGCTAGCTCGTGGACTCTCTGAATTCCAATCTCCAGCTGATCTGCAAGCAAGGCTGGCGGTGTTTCATCTATCCGGGTGGAAATCCCGTTTTGATCTTTCCATTCCAGGGGACCTACAGCCTCCAAACCTGCCCTAGAAAGCACCAGCACCGCGCGGCTCAACGGGCCTCGGGAGGAGCTCCAAGGCCCCAGCTCGAGAGGTCTGGCCGACTTCCAAAGCCTGAGAAGCTCAGCACGGCTGGCTAGCGATCTATCGGGTTGGGCTGTGGCAAACCAAATCATTCTGCACCACTGCAATGCTGGTGCCACTGCTAAACGAAAACTGGAGTCACCTGTTAAAACCAGTTTCGCCGACAGCGATACTCCTCCGTGCGATGGGGAAGTAGCGCTGCTGTGGAGCCGTTGATGGGTCATACATTCCCTCTGGCTTAGACCATTTATCTCAACGCCAAAGCTGCTAGCAGGTGATACCCCCGACCGACATGTCTTAACGAAGGGGGCCTCTTTGCTGAAGCCTCTAAAGCCCTTCTTGAAGCCTCTAACTTTACCTATTCTACGCTTAGCACTTATAAACCTACGCTGCTGCTTAGGGCGGGTTCCCTTAGCAGACCTCTGGGCTCCCGAACTCTCATCCACTCCCAAATATGTGACGCTAGTCTTGTATGTGCTGCGAGGTACTCCAAGTTCATCACATATTGCATGTCCCAGCTCCACAGACGATGCAATCAGCGATACCTTGTCGAAGTTGAGCACCGCATTAAACTCATCCAACGTCTGCCTGAACTCCCGCATGGACTCAACAGCCGTGCCCTTCGCGATGGTGATATCTCTCGAGCTGCTTCCAATTGCACTGTCATCAATGTAGTTCAGGAAGTCAACTGTCGGGCAACATGATACGAAAGAGTCCAGTTCAAAGGCCGCGTGTATCTTGATAGCAATTTCCGCATTTCCATCTCCAGCTGGAAGACCACTCGTTGCATACAACGCTTCAACTGCATGATGCCGTCCACTCCTGATGATGCGTGGTCCGCACCATGTGTTGATGACTAGCTTTAGCCAGCACGTCGGGATGCCAACTCGCAAACACTTGTACTTTAGCTCACGCAGAGGATTTGACTCGTAGTACTTGGACCAGTCTACCACCCACATCCACGAGTGCAGACCATCAGAACGATCAGCTTCACTTCTTGCCGCCTGTAGCCACGCACAATCGATAGCTGACCTTCCTTTTCCAGCTCCTCAAAACTTGCGCCCGAGCGACTCAGCAATGCCACTTATCATCCATCGACGTGCTCGTTGCCATATCCGATACATGCCCGCGTACAGGATGATCAATATGTTGCCTCCCGATGCTGTGGGCAGCATAGGCATCTGTATCCAGCACGGCTGCTTGGGCAACATCCCTATCGCCTCCGCTGACTGCCATATCATAGATAAAACATCCAATGCCTCATCCTCGAGCAGCAGCGCACGGCGTGGGTGAAAGTGATCAAACGACGATGCCATGGAGGTGGTGGTGGGGCATACTCTTGGGACCCGCACCCTTCTCTGCCGCTCCCCCGCTGCCGTTGGCCGGCGGTCCACCGCTGCCCGCCTGCCCCGCCCCGCTCCCGGCTGCCCTGCGCCCGCGCTGCGGCCGAACCGCCTCGCACCACCCGCCGCTGCCTTCTCTTCGGCTGCTGGGCTCTCGCGCGGCTCTCCGCGCGCGGGCCGCACGGTGAGGGTGTGCTCCCGCCCGAGACGACAGACAAAAAAGTGTGCGTGTGCGCGTGCGCGTGCGCGTGCGCGTGCGCGTGCGCGTGCGTGTGCGGGTGTGCGGGTCTGCGGGTCTGCGGGTGTGCGGGTGCGCGGGTGCGCGGGTGTGCGGGTGTGCGGGGGTGCGTGTGCGTGTGCGTGTGCGAGTGCGTGTGCGTGTGCGTGTGCGTGTGCGTCAGCACGAGCGCGAGCGCGAGCATGTGCGCGAGCGTGTGCGTGTGCGTGTGCGTGTGCGTGTGCGTGTGCGTGTGCGTGTGCGTGTGCGTATGCGTGTGGGTGAGGATGTGGGTGAGGGTGTGGGTGTGGGTGTGGGTGTGTATGTGCGTGTATGTGTATCGTACCCTACGGGGACCAGCGCCCCTCGCTGGGGACAGCGCATCCGTGCATCTGGCCGCCACCGCCCGCGCTGCCGGGGCTCCCCTGTGCGCGGCGCCACCACGCAGCGCGGAGGGCACCCGCTCGACCCACCTCCGCCCGCCGTCGATGCCGCCCGACGGCCTGCCATGGGCCCGACGCCCCCCCGCGGGCGCCCTGCCCGGCGGGAGCTCCGGCTGAGCGGGCCGCTCGCGGTCTCAGTCGGCCATGGCCCCTCCCCTCGCGCATGTCCACGCCTCCGCGGCCTGGAGGCTGGAGCGCGATCCCACGGAGACGCAGTCGCACGGATGCGTCCCGCGCAAGGCATCCGCGAGAAACGTCCCGTCTCTGCGGGGACGTGGCCCAGGGGCCTGGCCCGGGAGGCTGCGGATACGGAAATGTTTTTCGCTCACGACCTCCGAGGTGAAACAATCGGGGGGAGGCTCACGGGGGAAGGGGGGCAACATCAACTTGACATCGGCGATGCATCGCCGACGGATCGACGATATGCCCTCGATGACGAAACCGCACGTTTCTGGGCGGGGTCGGCTTGGTGCAGCAGACGGCGTGGCCAACGAGTCGCGTGCATACCCAGAGAATATGTGTGACGTCGCCTCTCTACATCAAGTCGGGAGAGGACACTACGCTGAGCATGATCACGCGGGCCAGCAACATGCTGAGGCAGTCCAAGGGTTTGGCCAAGCAGGGCTGGAAACTCGTCTGCAAGCGCATCGAGACCATTATGAATTCCGCGGGCGTCGAGGACGCCTTGTTCGGCATCTCGACAGGACTCAAGCCGCAGAGAGGCATTTGGGGCAGCATCACGGGCGAAGGGTGCAAGCCAGGACCACGCGGGGGCCCAAGTGATTTTACTCTTGCCCCTCCGCGGCGACCGCGTGCCCCCATCCCGCGAATAACGCACCACCACCAGCAGAGCCGTGTGCCGCGGCGTGAGAGTGTGAGGAGGGACGCCGGGGAGCCCGCCGAAGCAGCCACTGTACACGAGCCCTGCGGTCAGGACCGGGCGAGCCAGCCCGACAGAGCGGAGTGCAAGTCTTGTTATCCTCGGCGGCCAGGCAGGGGTCGTCTGCGCTGGCGGATGAAGCTAACTGAACGGGGGCACCGCTGTAGCGAACTGGCCAGCATGCAAGAGGAGTACCCGTCAGTGGGAGGATGCCAACTGCATTATCTCTGCACCGAGCCTGGCCAGGCCGCTCTTGGGCCCGGGATCGGTGCACTTGCCCCCCTTGGCTCGGCAAGGAGGGTCTGCGCACAAGTCCTGGGCCCCGGATCGGCCCGGCCAGGATCGGTGCAGGGCGCCCTCCGAACGAGGGCCATGCGGGGCCCACCCAATAGCACCAGAGTCCAGCGCGCGGGGGGGGGGCAGCACAAGAAAGCTGTTTTTGGACCGCCCGTTGTCAGCCCCTGCGCTCCACTGCACTCCAGCTCGGATCGACAGAATCTGCCTTTGCACGCCGATGCAGCCGAAAAACCTGCTGCTCGTGCCTTGCCTCTGCGACAAACGACACCCAGGAAGACACACACACACACACACACACCGCTACACGCTCGAGGCAGGGTCGCACTGAAAGGGACAGCCCTCGCGGCAGAGGCACCTCCGCGGCAGCGCCACGCCTCAGCTCTCGAGCTCCCCAACGCTAGACTGAAAAGCACACGTGCACGCACCCAAAGCTCGGGAGGTCCGCGAGGAAGGGGGTCTCCCTGGCGCGCGGCGCCAGAAGTGCCGCCAGGGGGCACCGAGCGCCGAAGCAAGAAAATCCGCGTGGGGCTCAGAGCGCTTTTGCTGATGCAGCCTGCCCTTCGTCGACGGCAGGTGCACCCTGCTGCAGCGCCGGCGCTACCGCCACGGCCCCCGAGGCCCCACGGCCACGCAACCTCGTCATCGGTAAATGGGCTTGAGGCATTCCCGCTCTGGGTCGGGAACCGCGAGCGTCTGCTCGAAGGACGCGTTCTCCCTGTTGGCGACCGTGCCGCCAGGCGGCGGCACCTCCTGGCCGGTCACGGCGATCTCGCAGGTGGCGTCGTACGTCCAGGGCGCGCTCGGCCAGCAGTCCTTGCAGTGAGACACGATGCACCAGCGCGCCTCGCCCCCCGGGTCCTCGAGGGATGCACGGCATTGCGGGACTGGCCCGGTGGAAGGGCAACGTCGAGCTTGAGCCGACGAGGCATCGCCGACAGACAAAAGCGGCACGCTCCTGGGCGGGTTGGGGCACCGATCGGCACCAGTCGGCGACGAGTGGGCGGGTGGGGGGTCGCCGCTTCCCTGCAGGGGCCCACCCGTCGATCGGATGAAGTGGGTAAAGGCAGGAAGTAGGAATGGGTTGAGCGGAGGGTGGGTCTCCTCGCCCGCCTTCCGAGGACGGAAGCCGAAGGAATACCGCTCGCTTCTCGAAGGGAGGAGACGCCCAGAGAGATTGGTTCCCGGGGTCCAAAGAGAGCCCACTTTGAGCGACCGACGGGTTCCCCCCCAGTTGGCCCTGGCTCCGCGCTGGGGTAGCACCTGCCGTCTACGAAGGGCAGGTAGTCCGCACCAGCTCGATCTCCTATCTCGAACTCCATCTGGCGGAAGGGGACTCGATTCGCGGTGAGGGTAAATAAAACAACCTGCTCCGTGTTCTCCGCCCTCGTCATCTGATGGTACTTTGGGTTCGGGGGGTCGTCGTTCATGACGCCCAGCATGGAGGGATACGTGGCACCCAGGCTGCTCTCGAGGTACTCTCGCGGGAGCGCCATGACTTTGTCGTGGACGCCGCCCCACCAGTTGCAGTGCTTGAGGACGACTTCCCGGATCGAGAAGAGCTTCTCGGGGACCACGGGCCGCAGAGCGATGGTGTTGTCGCGAACCTTCACCACTATGTCGTACCTGCTCCCTGTAGCCTTCTCCCTCTTGTGGATGAGCTCCACGCATTCCTTCTGGTGTCTCATCTGGCTGACGACGTTGGCAATGTGAGTCCTCCGCTTTGGGCAGTCGTTCGCGGTCTTGCAGTCATACAGAAGGTGCTGCGCAGTGTACAGTGATGGCCACCGGCTCAGAGTGATGTTCTCGTCCACGTGCGGCCCGAATACGGCATCTCGGAAATATGGCGCAAACGCCCACTTCACCCCGTCCACGCCCAGGGTCGAGTCGCGACACTGGGTGCCGTCGACGTCTGCCGTGAGAGGGTTGTTGAACACCCCGTGGTCGCCGGTCTCCAGAGACAGAAAAACGTCCACCGCTGCAAAGCTTGATCGGCGGCGGGCGTCCAGGGGGAAAGGAGGAGGAGGAGGAGGAGGAGGAGAAGGAGGAGAAGGAGGAGGAGGCTTTCCAAGCCTCTTCCGAAGCCACAGAGGGCTTCTCAGAAGGCCAGGGAGCTCCTGAGAAGCCCCGCCACCTTCTGAGGGGGCCTGCACCCTTTCACTTCCCCCTCGGCGCGCCGCCGACTTGAGAGCGGCTCGATGATGTTCTGCATCTTGCTCTGAACCTCCAACCGCGACATCTGGCCCAGTACGCAGACTGCCGCTCCAAGGCCAGAGGTCCTGCCAGCACGATCGGAGTCCGCGCGAGCGGCTAGCACTCCGACGGAGGCCACACCCAGAGCCACGCCCAGAGCAACCACTGCGACCAGGATGGCGGCACGTCCGCAGAAGAAGGGAAATGACCCCCGACGTCCTGGTCCATCCTCAGGAGACAACTACTGGGGGGAGGTCGTCGTCGGAAGGATTGAGGAAGATTCGGCCCCAGTCGGGGGCTGTTACGCCAGATAGGGCCTCGGATTGAGCGGGACCGAGCCGGACCAGGCAAGGTTATGAGCCAGATCAGGCGGGACTGAGCCAGAATAAACGGGATTCGGCCCGGAGTCGGACCAGGGCAGAATCAGCATCTGGCCTCCCAGGAGTTGCATCCGAAGCGTCCTCTGCGGCGTGGCGCCCGCCCGCCGGGTCGGCCGCGGACTGCCCGCCCGCAGGGACCAAGGGCTGCTGCACCGGAGCGGCCGCAGCCTCTGCGTCGCCCTCTCGCGAGGGCGCCTGGCCGGGCCGCTCCATGGCCCGCCCGAGCCGTCTTTTGAGAATGCCTCGGGGCCCCTTCAGGGCATGCCAGAGACCACCTCGAGCAAGCGTGGACAGTCTTGCGCCGTGAAGAAGAAAAGAACAACTGCATAAACAGACTCGGGGTTTCTTAATGAGCGTGGGGGGTACCCCCCCGATGGGGGTCAACCTCGCGGGGGTCGGAGCGCCTTCGACGCGCGGTGGCTGCCCGCGACGGGGGGCGATGTCGGGATGTTGGCGGGGGTGACGCCCCCTCGACGCTTATTGCGAAACTCGGAATAATGTGCTGGAGCTCCGCACAAATGTCGTGGATCCACGCTGATGGACCCCCCACCCTGGTGCGCGGAGCGCGCCCACTGGCGGCGCCGATCCAAGAAATCTGCGCGGAGCTCCGCAAATTGATTGATTTGGACGCGGCTTGACCGAACAGGCCGACTCCACGCACACCTCTTCAGTCCCTACCGATGGAGCCTCACTCGAAGCAGATACCTGTAGCACACATTACGTCTGAAATTCTGGGATTCCGAGCTGAGACAGATCGCCTGCCCCCTGCACGGCGGCGAACACAGCAAGTGCTAGCAGGAGCCCCGACACTTCGGCGGAGAAGTGAGTCGGTGGCCTTAGGGTCCCACGTCCCCACAGAAGACGCGACCTTCCAGATGCCGCTCCCTCGGGAGGCCTGGAGCGTGAACCCGCACGCGCTCCACCCGCACCCGCGCCACCCGCCGTCCGAGCGGGCCAATGAATCGTGGAGAAGCTACCAATTCTTCAATGCACGGGCGGAGGCACAAGAAGCCCACGGCCTGAATCCAACACTGCATTACACAAATGGTCAGCCTCTTGATTCAGGTGGCGGGGCCGCCACAAGTTTATGTCTATGCAAGCTTTTCTTTTCCGAGCCACCGAACGCATCCTAGGGCACCTGGGGCCATCTGGCCATCTTGGCGCCATTTGGGGCTAAAGAATACCTCGATGGGCTCAGTCCCCCTCCTTCAAATTTGACTTCCGACTCCCGACTCCCTGGGACGAGAAAAAGGCGGAGGAGACAACCGATCGTCGCCACACGCGCTTTCCACTCGCTGCAGTCAGAGATCGGCTCGTTTTGGACCTGGACAGGGTGTTGGCCCCATTTTGGCATCCTGAGGGGGGGGGGGGCTAATTAAAGCTCCCCTCTTGTTTGATCGATCTCCTCCAAGATGGCCCCAAGAAGCGCCCAGGAGGCCCCAAGAGGTCCCAAGATGGCCCCAAGATAGCCCCAAGAGGCCCCCAAGAGACCCCCAAAAGGATCCCAAGCGGCCCCAAGAGGCCCCCCCGAGGAACCCAAGACGCCGACGAGCCCCCCCACGACCGCCAAGAGACCCCCAAGACGTCCCAAGACGCCCAAGAGATACCCCAAGAGGCTCCAAGAAGCATCCAAGAGACCTCTGGCCCTTTTGCTTGCTCTCCTCCTCCTCCTCCTCCTTCCTCCTCCTGTCCCTTCTCATCCTCCTCCTCCCCCTCCGCCTCCTCCTCCTCATCCTATTCATCCTCCTTCTCCCTACTCCCTCATCCATCCATCCATCCAATTTCCTCCGTCGCCCCCTCTCTCCTTCACACGGTTCGGCCGTCCCCCTCTTTGCTCCAGCACTTCCATGATCACCTCTCAACTCGCCTGGACATCTTTTCTGGATGGGCTGGTGGGGATACGTTTTTTTTTTATCTGCGGCTCCAAGGACGGCTCCAGGGAGCGGGTCAATCTCGACAGGGGCGCGCTGGTGGGGATACTTGTTTTGCTCGGCGGCTCGAAGGACAGATCCAGCGAGCGGGGCTAATAGCTGGTGGGGATACGCGAAGCGTCTAGAATTTCAAACAGCGTTGGCACCGACACTGTCCTAAACACGCTTGTTGGTCCCAACTGTCCTGTGTTGGGTTCTCGTTTTGGATTGAGCACTGCGGTCGCAAGTCCTCGCGCCCCCCTTCTCCTCTCTCCATGCTCATATTTGTCTAACCTCTCTCCTCCCCCTACATGCTACCTCGGCTTACCTGGATGGTTTTGAGGGACTCGCCATGCCCAGGGGGCTGCGAACTGCGAAACTAACCGTCGCCTTTGAAGGGTCCGGCAGAGTGACGTCTTACGCAAATCAGAGCGTAACCTCGCCGTCGCTGGGGGCCTTGCGAACTGCGAAACTGTCGCCACTGTCGAAGGCTGCTGGGGGTCCAACGGAGTGACGTCTTACGCAAATCAGAGCGCAACCTCGCCGTCGCTAGGGGCCTTGCGGACTGCGAAACTGTGACCGCCTTCGAAGGCTGCTGGGGGGCCCAACGGAGTGACGTCGCACGCAGGTCGGAGCGGTGCTTGAGCCAAAAAATCTCCCCGTGCCCCCGTCTCCCCGGGTCGGGACCAGAGGCGCCGCGAGGGGTGAGAGCGTCCAAGGTGGCTCCAGCTACAGTCGGGGCCCTGAAGAAGGAACCCTTTTGTTTGGGGAGGGGCTCCGCGTTCCTCAAGTGTTTCACTACTTGCCTCAGTCCTTATGTTTTCGATCGGAAATCGAAGTTTAAGTTGTGGGAAAAAGGGGCCTCGTTCCTTATTTAGGGTTCCTTAGGTCAACGCCCGGACTGTAGCCCAAGATGGTCTCAAAGATCGCACAAGGTGGCGGCATGTGCTTCGAAACAACTAAAGGCGTGCCTACAGGAGGCACCGTGACCGGCCACAGACGGCTTCAGGTGGCCACGGGGCCTCACAGAGACACCCCAAAGCGGCCCAAAACCTTCTAAAACAAACAATGCGTCAATACCTATACGACCACCCTTCGGGTGATAAGGAGGTTCGGGGGTGGGGGGCGGTAGGAACCAATGTCTCACTCAATCGATCTCACTATCGATCTCACGATCGGTCTCACTACCTATCTTACTGTCGATCTCAATATCAATCTCACGATCGATCTCACGATCGATCTCACTATCGATATCACGATCGGTCTCACTATCAGTCTCACTATCGATTTTACTGTCGATCTCACTGTCGATCTCACTATCGATCTCACTATCGACCTCACTATCGATTTCACTATCGATGCTACTATCGGTCTCACTATTGATCTGACGATCTCACTACGGGACACCGACGGAACACCCGCGGGACACCCCCGGCCACCGCTTAACAACCCAGGGGGCGGTCTTTTGGCCTGGCGGCGGCCTATCCAGAAGGAGGTTTATCCCTCTCGCCCGCCCACGCAGCTTCGCCTCGTCCGCACGCACGACACGAACACGAAACCGAGACTGATTTCCACGTGGGGAACTCTCCGTTTCACTGCGATCTCACCCCCTCAACTCCGACTTGCTCGCCAGTTCGCTTCCGATGGGCTCGTGAGGCCTCAAGATGGCTCCAAGATCGCCCAAGAGAGCCCCAACAGTGGCCCAAGAGTGTTCCAGGAGCGCCCCAAGAGGGCCCCCCAAAGGTGAGTTTGAGGGCCCCGACGAGGGGGCCGACATCAAGAACCCCCCCTGTCTTTCATCGATAGCCTCCAAGACAGCCCCATGAGGCCCCCCAAGAGGCCGAGGGCCCCAAGAGAGACCCCGGAGGACCCCCACGAGAAAAAAAAGAAAAGAAAAAGAAAAAAAACGACCTGGAAAAATCAGAAGGGGCGCACCGAAAGAGTGCATCGCCCCGGGGCCCAAAGACCGAGGACCTGTCTGACGCGGTAAGGAGGCCTCCTGATTTGCAAGGGCTCCCACCATCGCGCTTCGCGCTGCGCGAGAGCGCCACGTGCGAACAACTTCGCGCCCTCGCGCCGCCTCCCAGGGAAGGAGGAGAGGATGAGGAGGAATCGGAGCCGCACCGCGAAGCGCGAACAACTTCGCGCCCTCGAGGGCGCCCTCGGGGCGTGACGGCACAGGAGAGGGAGCACGGGAGAAAGACCAGGACCTCCGACGATCCGGATGCCTTCCGTGCGGGCCAGGCCTCGGGGTGCAGAGGTCCAGGGTCTGCGGGCGTCCTCGGCCAGCTCCCAGCCTCCGGGGCGCGCTCCAGCAGCCTCGCCTCGCCGAGGGTGCTCCCCGGGGGGCCCGGATGGTCCCGAACGGGCGACGGAGGCCAGAGGTATGGCCTGCAACGAGTTCTGGCCCGAGAAATATGGCCTGACGCACGAGCGTGGCTCCTGACGCCCTTGGGGGGCCACAAGTTAGAGCTCACGCACACTGCCTCATCCTCCTAGTGGGAGGGTTCTGAAAATGAACAGACGAGAGAGATCGCAACCTCCTGCCGACGCTCAGTGGACCCACGCGAAGAACAAATCCATGATCGAACGAACCCGAGGAACCTGCCGTGGAACCGGCGGGTGTTGGGAGGTGCCTCTTGGATTCGTCGATGCGTCATGCGTTGCGCGCCGCTGCATCCGCCAGCTCGCTTTTGGAGGCTGACCTCCTCGGCCATCCTCTCAATCCTGATGACCTGGTGCGCGGCAGCTGCAGCGCCCGCGTGCAGAACCAGGCATCAAAAGTGAGGCCGCGCGGCTTTGGTTGTCCAAAGTACAATCCGAAAGGAGACAAAACATGCGCACCCAGTGCTTCCCTTCCCCCCTCTCCCCTCTACTCTACTCCAGCTCTCCTTCCTGGCAGGGGTGGGGGGGATGGAAGAGGGTGACTGCGGCCCCCTTCCAGCGGGGCACAAAATGCAATAGGCGCATGGACAAGCAAGGATACCGCAAACCTCCTCCACAAAGGAAGGCGGCGGCCCGAACCTGGCACAGCTCGATGGAACTCGATCATGGTGGGCTGGAAAGGTATACGGGCAAATCTGACACAGTCTCGTCTGGCAGGCAACCATTCTCAAATCAGACCGCCCCGACAGACTCTGGGCGAGCGGTCCCATGCGTCTCCCATGCAGCAACGCTGTCGGGCCCCTCGGCATCCGGACCTCGTTGGCAGCAGCCTAGGGTGGCCTCGTAGCGTTCAAATTGTGGAAGAGGGGGCAGCAAGACAGTGACAATGACAGTGGTGGCATGGATGATGTGAGGATG